GGAAAGAGGTTCCGACTTTTGGACGGGCTGGGATGCACTGGGCTGGGGAGGGGACCGAGCGGGGGCTGCCTTGACCGTGTGTCTCCTGCAGGCCATCGAGATGGAGCTGCGGCAGATGGAGGTGCAGCAGGCCAACCGACACGTCTCCCTCCTCACCTCCTTCATGCCCGACAGCTTCCTGCGCCACGGAGGGGACCATGACTGCATCCTGGTGCTGCTGCTCATCCCTCGGCTCATCTGCAAGGTGGGATGGGTGCCTCGGCCCCCGCCTGCCTGGGGGAGTTAGGCCTCGTCAGGAGCTTGTGTTAATTCTTCCTTTGAAGCTTTGAGCTGGGGCTGTCTCCTGAGCCGGGCTGTCGGGGCTTCGTATGCGCTGTGCCACGTGGGCCAACCAGGAGTCAGCGGCTGTGCCGCGGCTCTGTGGGAAATACATCTTTTCTTTCTGTCCCAGCTGAATGTGGGATTTTGAATGTTTACTTGTTTGAGAACTTTCAAAATTGTCTGGGAGGAGGGGGAAGCGGGAGTCCCTGCCCGCAGGTGGTGGTAGGTCAGCGGTGGGAGCACTCAGCTGTGGTACGGGTGGGTCAAGCCTGCCAGTTCGGGCAGGGCAGGCGTGTGAGCCTCGGTGTCTTGCAGCACTGACCGGGGGGATTGGCGCTCTGCTGTCCCTCTTATTCCCCTTCTGTTCCTTCAGAAATCTTTCCCAGGAAAGCTTGCTTTTTGGAGGTGGGGGTGAGGGGGGTGTTTGGCTGGTCTGTGGCTAAGCAGAACAGATCAGAGCAAGCGTAGGAAGACTCTGAAGGTTCGCCCTCTTCCCCAACAGGCTGAACTGATCAGCAAACAGGCTCAGGAGAAGTTTGATCTGAATGAAAACTGTGCGGAGCGCACCGGCCTCAGGGGTGCTGCGGGAGAGCAGCTGAGCTTTGCTGCCGGGCTGGTCTATTCCCTCAGCCTCCTGCAGGCTACGCTGCACAAATACGAACAGTGAGTACCCAGCCCTTCTCCTCGCCCTTGATTCCCGCCCGCCTCATCCTCTGGAAGCAGAGAGGACCTCTGCAGCCTCGCAGCAGGGCCTGGCCCCTCTGGAGTTAAAGATATTTTGGCAGCTAGGCTGGAAGAAAGCTGAGGGACGCCATTTATTGCCTTGTGACGGGGGTGTTCACTTCTCTTGTAACTCCTTCCTCGTTTTCCTCCCAAGAATTGACACGTGAAGGGATCCAATTCTCTAGCACGTGTTGCTCGTTCTTCAGCTGTGACTGTGTCTTGAGGACAGAAGTAGCCTTGCTGCACTGATTTTTCCATCTATTCTGCCAGGCGATGCATCACAGTCTCTTGCTGAGCTTGACTGCATCTGGGGCTGACTCTGGGCTTCAGTCCCCAAGAGCAGGCTCTCCCCTCAGCCCAGTGCCCTCTTCCACGAGTGCCCAGGGCTTAGACCTGTGCGGAAGGTTTCACGGAGTGTCAGCCTGAACGCTTGATCAGCGTGAGCCTGTCCCTGGGCGGTGGTGCCCTGACGGCACCGCGGAGCCAGGGCTTCCCTCGGAGACTGGGAGATGCCGTCGGGCGCCAAAACGGCTGTGGCAGGGTACCTGCCTTGAGGCTTGCTCAGCTTTGCTCCCAGGAAAGTGGCTCGGTTTGAAACGGGGCGCTGAAAGATCCCTTTGCTCCTGCACCAGCATGGCTGACGAACTCCTTAGATCACCTGGTGTACTGCGGGTGCTGGGTGGCAAGTCTTCTCCTGCCGCCGGCACCGAGTTCTGGCCTAGAGAACTGAGTGTTCTTCTGTTCTGAGGCTCCCTTTCCTGTAGCTCCCAGGCAGCCTATTTCATGCCGTGGTTTTCTACGGATGTTTTGACCTTCGTTAACCGCTCTCTAGCTACGGCGCTCCTGGGGGTCCAGCTGGTGGTCCCGGGGGGGGGTTCCAGTGGTCTGAGATAGGCACCCAGAAGCAAAGCCCCGTATTGATGCTGTCTGGCTCATGTGCCTGTCCCAGCCAAGCCAACTGTGGCTGCGTTCCCTTACCAGGGCCCTGAACAAATGCAGCGTGGAGGTGTATAAGAAGGTGGGGATGCTGTACCCCGAGATGAGCGTCCACGAGCGCTCGCTGGACTTCCTGATCGAGCTGCTGCACAAGGACCAGCTGGACGAGACGGTCAACGTGGAGCCGCTGACCAAAGCCATCAAGTACTACCAGGTGGGTCTGCGGAGCCGAGAGCGAGGGGCTCTTGGCCAAGCTCGGGGGCGTTTCTGACCTGCAGGACGGGGAACTGGTGCAACCTTGCCAGTGCGTGCCACAGCTGGAAATCGTGCCCTTGGGTACATCGTTCACAGGGCACACTGACCAGCTGAGAATAAGCTCGTTGGTAGCACTTTCTTTTGGATGTTTTTCACCTCCGGAGCACGCAGGACTTGAGCCTGTGCCTGTGTCACCTGGGGGCTGTGTTCTCTGCTCTCTGTCCCTGGGAGGACACGGGGAAGGGACGCGGTTCTCCCATCCTACGTTTCTGCACCTCTGTGCTGCAAGCCAGGGCTGCTGACCCTTTGAATTGAGGGCCACCAGCTCTTTTGGAGGGCGGAGCGTTCGGGGGGGATCTGGTGGGGGTCACTGCAAGAGTTTTCACTTCCAGTTAAAAATTAGGCCAAACCCTCAATGTTTGGGGCTTTTTGTTATGTATTTCCTTAGTTGGTTGGTTTGCTTGCGTGTGTGGAGGCATTTGAGGGGTGCTGATCTCTGCTGATCTCTCTCCACCTAGCACCTGTACAGCATCCACCTGGCTGACCAGGCTGAAGACTGCACGATGCAGCTGGCTGACCACATCAAGGTGAAGTGGGGGAAAATAACCCGACTCTTTCCTTGTTGCGCGTTTTCTGCCTTTGCTCTTTCTGCTCCCCCCGAGATCGTTTTGTGAGTTGAAGTGCCTCTTCTCCCCCTCTCCCCATTGCAGTCGCTTTCCCCCAGCTCCTGCTGCCCGTGGTGGCGCAGAGGTGATGAGGGCTCCCAGGTCAGGGAAAGGGGAAGAAGATGCGGGGCCATTTGCCCTGCAGATGTCTGGGTAGAAGGAGAAGAGCAGCAAGGAGAGTGCGGAGAACCTAGCGCCTGAGGGGGAGTGTTGTACTGCCCTGAGCTTCTAAGGGAAGCACCAGTGTCCCGTGCCCCACGGAGTAAAACAAAAATTGGCTGAATGCCTCAACCTGTTTTCCTGCTCCCGTAAATCCTGCGGTCGTGGCAGGGTGGTGTACAGAGGGTCCGTCCTGAAATGCCCGAGACCAAAGCCCCGGTTTGCCCTAGTGCAGCCGTCTTGCCTGGTCTCTGCTTTGCCCCGAGCTGACGGTACCTGTGTTTGTGCTCTGCAGTTCACCCAGAGTGCCTTGGACTGCATGGGGGTGGAGGTGTGCCGGCTGCGATCCTTCCTCCAGGTAGGACATGCTCGGGGGTGGCTCTGCGGGGTTGCGCTGGGTTCCCCTCGCCGATGATCCCTTTGTCAGTTTTTCTGAGGTCCTTTCTCTGCACCCTAGGCTGGGCAGGAGGCGTCCGACCTCGCCATCCTCCTCAAGGACCTGGAGACCTCGTGCAGTGACATTCGCCAGTTCTGCAAGAAGATCAGGCGCCGCATGCCTGGGACGGACGCTCCGGGTATCCCTGCGGCACTGGGCTTCGGGCAGCAGGTGAGCTGAGATGGGACGGAGTGTCTCTGGGCTTTGTGTTTCTAGCTGGGATGGAGACACGGACTTTGTAACCTACTTTTCTCTAGCCTTCAGTTTCTTTCTGTCTTTCCTGGTGCTTCCCATCTTCCTAGTGATGCTTCAGAAGCAAGTTAAAAATCTCACTAGCTGTCAGACTAGGGTGAGGCAAGTGTTGTGCAGCCAGGAGCTTCCCCAGTGCCTGGGAAGGGAGCCGGAAAGCAGCCCGTTTGTCCGCTTCCGCTGCTGGCCTGCCGCAAGCACCTGACGTGGGTGGTGGCCGTGCTGCAGGAGGTGGCCGCTGCTGGGGCGCAGATGATTGCTCCTCTGGCGGAGAACGAGGGGCTGCTGGCGGTGAAGCTGGAGGATCTGGCCTTCAAAGCGAGCGAGCAGGTGGGAGACCCCCTTCTCGACTGCCCTTCGTTCCCTGCTGCAGCGGGGTAAAGCCGGGACCCGTCTCACTCCAGCGCTACAGACCTGCCCGTGAGCAGCTCTGGATGGGAGAGCCTTGTGGAGGCTGGGAATGAACCCCTGGGAATATCATAGAATCAGAGAATAGTTTGGGTTGGAAGGAACCTCCAAAGGTCATCAAGTCCAACCCCCCTGCAATGAGCAGGGAATCGCCAGGGAATGCCAAAATGCGGAGGGCTTTGTGGTCCCCTGCTCTCTGCTGTCCTTCCCTCCAGCTGGCCTTGCTCCGCAGCTGCACCAAAGGGACTGCAGCCTCTGAAGGCCTGTGGCACGTTGTGGGGAGTCGGGAGGGGGCTGTAACGGTGGCTGTGAGCCCAGCCCAGGGGCAACTGCCACTTTCTTCCCGTCCTTTGCAGATCTACGGCACCCAGGGCATCAACCCCTACGAGTGTCTGCGTCAGTCTTGCAGCATCCTCATCGCGACCATGAACAAGATGGCCACGGCTATGCAGGAGGGAGAATACGACGCGGATAGGCCACAGACCAAGGTGGGCTTCGGCTGTGGCAGGGGCCTCGGGCAGAGCCGGAGCATCTGGGTTGCTCTGTAATCTCCCGCAGTCCTGGAAGGAGACTGTCTTCTGGGTGTGATGTGGGGCAGAGAGCTGGGGAGGGGCAGCGGTTGTCTGCGGGATTCAGGGAGGCCGGGGACGGTCCCCCTCTTGCCCTGTGGCCCCATCTGCAATTACTGGAATTCTTCGTAAAATACCAATTTTGCATCTTGCTCCTCTGGTCTCCATTGCAGCCCACCCCACCTGCTGACCTACGGGCAGCGGCTCTTCGGGCAGAGATCACTGACGCTGAGGGGCTGGGGCTTAAGCTGGAGGACAGGGAGACAGTCATCAAAGAGCTGAAAAAATCTCTCAAGATCAAGGTAAGCTGTTCTTCAGTCGATCTCTGCCTTCCTGGCCGGTCAGTGAAGAGCTGAAGTGCTGCTGTAGTGGTCACGTTCGTGCTCCAGGTGACTTGTTGCCTGTGGAGCTGTCTCGAGTCCCAGCCAGGTCTCTTCCTGGAAATATTGTTCCAGTTGTCAGGGAGGTGCTGTCTGCCTGGTGCCTCCCTGCCAGAGACTGTCCTGGCCTTTCCCCCCCACCGTGTTCTGGGATGGGCGAGTGTTTGGTGATGGGCGCGTGTGTCTGGGTACCAAGCGTAGCTGCAGCGTGGGTAGGAGTTGTGGTTTCTGGGCAGGCTCCCACCAGGCGCTGCGAGGAGCTTTTCTTAGTGCCCACCATCCCCAGGGCCCCGGAGCGCTCTGATTTCTTTCCTGCCTCTCCAGGGCGAGGAGCTCAGCGAAGCGAACGTGCGGCTCAGCCTCCTGGAGAAGAAGCTGGACAGTGCGTCCAAGGATGCAGATGACCGCGTGGAGAAGATACAGACAAAGCTGGATGAGACCCAGACGCTGCTCAAAAAGAAAGAGAAGTAAGCGTGAGATGGGGCTGCTGTTGGAGGGTCTCTGATGAGGACTGGACAGCCAGCGGTCCCTCGGGCTGGCTGGGGGGGTTTGTGGGTTAGTGGAGGATGCGCAGGGGAACCAGCACGTTTTAATGGTGCACAGCAGGGCGCAGGCTGATGGAGCGGTCCTGGGAAAGGTCCTGTTCAAATGCTCTCGTGGAAAGGGACGTTGTCCTGCCGTGTTCACCGTTGCTGTGCTCCAGGCGTCTCTTGCCACACGTGGTCTGTTGGCAGAGCGAGCCTGCGGACAAGCAGGGAGCTGCAACCTGCAGGGTGGCGGGAGGACTGTCTAGCAAAAGCTAAGGAGATGTTGGGTTCAATATGGATAAATACTTCCTTCGTGTGCTATACTGCAGTCTCCAGCGGAGGCTGGTGGGGCTCCAGCTCCTGGATCAGCAGGGTTGTGCCTGAAGCACAGCAGCAGCAGGAGCCATGACAAAGCCAGGAGCTCTCGGGTCCTGGACTGCTTGCCTCGTTCCTCCAGAGGAGCGTCCCCGGCTACACCCGTGACTCTGTGTGCTCTTCCCAGGGAGTTTGAGGAGACCATGGATGCTCTTCAGGCAGATATCGACCAGCTGGAATCGGAGAAGGTGGAGCTGAAGCAGCGCTTGAACAACCAGTCAAAGCGAACCATCGAGGGCCTGCGCGGCGCCTCTGCCTCTGGAGTTGCCTCCATCGTGTCTGGCATCGCCGGAGGTGCGTACCCAGCGTCCCCAGAGCACTCGGACGCTTCTGCAGCTGGTGTAGGGTATTTGCAGGCTGGAAAGGGAGCCTGGCACGTCCTCCCGACACGGAGTCCGGGAGCTGTGCAGGGAGCAGTAACGTCTGTAATGTCTCTGTAATGTCCCGGGAGGCAGTGCGGGAGCTCGGACTGCCGGCGGGGGGGAGCAGCTCCTGGGAATGGTGCTCCGACGGTCCGCTGCTCTGCCTGCCCGGCCCTCCCGCAGCGAGCCAGAGCCCCTGGCGCGGCCGGCAGGGGAGAGGACAGGAGGCGTTCGGGCTGTAGTGGCCGGCGGGGGGGGGGGGGGGG